AAGGGGTTTCCATTCAAAACGAATGTCAATGTTGGAAGCTCATCAACGCTCGAACAACGACATGACAATATTCCATTTCTCCCGTACGGTATTATCGACGCATTCAAGATATTTGCTATCTGAAATGGTCCAAGAAGCGACCAATTTTACTTCATTCTGTTAACCGTTACTCAAAAAAGCTCCTTCACAATGTAAACGTAGGTTGTCTAAAATCGAACTTTTTCAATGCTGAGTGACTCATAATGGACAACTGAAAAATCAGAATTATGAAGTAACCTGGTCGATCCAACTAAGTCACTGATCGGAAATTCATTAACAATTCCTTGCAATGAAGGTTACCTTGGGATATTCTTCGTATGGCGCAGCCATGATCGTCCAACCAGAGTCGATAACTGCTTCGGTTTGACCTAACGATATCCGATGTGAACCGATAAGCACGTCATCCATTCGGACGTACCAATTCGGTCCATGCTCGAGAGGAATCCACACGAGATCACCCTTGACAGAACAAATTATCATTGTGAATGATTTTCAGAACAATTATCCGCTTCATTATTCATAAGAAGTTTATCTTATCCTGATCATTCCGAAATGCTGACAAAATGTATCGAGCAAACCGACTGAAATACCCAGTGGAAAGGTATATTTCAGACCTGATAAGGTTACTGCGATGCACCAACTACTGTCCGAAATTCGCGAAGAGGGATAACCTGATAATGATTTTTGTCCACACCGCATATTGTCATCTCTCCGCCGTTTTCCGCCTCTGAATCTCTATTTAACCAGATTGCGACTTTTTTGTCTTCGCAACCGGAATATCGAAGAAGCCGCCCCATCGCAGACTCCAACTCCGGCGATTCCCCTTCCGCAGACAAACCAAAAATTCCATCTTGCAATATCTCAAAATTGTCATGCACTGATTATATCTATTCACTTTTAAGCTTCCATTAGCACAGCTTTCCGAAGAACAGAATAATCTCGAACATTTTCGGATTGAAATTTGGACAAACTTACGTCTAACTCATTTCTTTGAAGACTACACGTGAGATTTTGTCTTATGCGGCCGCAAAATCCACTGCTTGCATCGCCAATCTATAATTCTGTTTTCTCCGTCCTATGTTAAAAAACCAAGCAGACGCAGCGTAAATCAAAAGGTGAAAAAGTTCTCACTCGATCATATTTGTGAAGTAATTCACTTTATGAATTCGAGTTTTGTGGATGTTTCGGACGGCTTCATAAAGAAGACCAGTCATGTGGTCTTTAAGATCTGTTCAATACTAATCATTACTTTCATGCATACCAGAGGGGCATGAAACAGATCGAAGGTTACATAACATAACGAACTCAAAGATAGATCGAGACAAACGTACGCAAACAAAATCTTTGTCAATCGGACCCCAAGCATTGCCTTGGACGTAATGAATGGGTTTTGGCTTCTCTTCCATCAGGACACATGTTGCTGATTTAGAGCAATCGAACGCCCCACGTTCCTGACACTCCTCAGCCAAGCAACCCGCACAGTTTACCCACAGCACGTCTGATCCGGTATCGATTGCCACCTATTGAATATGTGTAATCGTTGAAGGTGCTTTCATCAAAATAATTTCACTTTGATGTGCAGATTATGATAGAAAGTTGTGTCTCTTCGCCCACTGAGGATCAACATTGAGTCAAAACTCATTTTCAAATGTCTCTGACGAGCTGCCCATCTTAAGCTCTTATACTTTGTTTCCAAAGGGACGAAAACTCGCCTCGAATTCCTGCGGTGGCACTCCAATTGTGATTTTTGCCGTGTAAAATACGTTCTCATGATTATTCAGCGGCAAATCGTATTGTTTCTCCGCCAACATTGGCGGGTACGTAAATATATTGGGGGAGTAACGGAAAGACCGACTGGGCGAGGGTTTTCTTTTTGATTCGGCGTTCAGTATTCGTTTTCTTCTGGTCAGTTGTACCCTGAAATCTTACGTCGATCACCTCACCAAAAATTCACTTTGTAGATCAACTGGATCGTGATTTTGACCTAAACAAGTATCCTCAAAATACTCCTCGAAAAGCGCCCCTCGACCCCCAATACATTGAATTTCTCCAAATTCTCATGCTGTTTCAGTGATCAAGGCACCCGATAGGTATTTTCTAGAAATGATGGGCCTACGTTGCTGACAAACCTTATGAACACATTATGAGCTCGATAGCTCACCTGTATAGGGCGTCAGTCGCACATGACAACGCAAGCAAAACGATGAAGAACTGGATTGCTGGGAACATCTGAAATTATCACCAAAAGTTGGGTCTCAATTGGATCCCGGTATGTGATATTCAAAAATTAAATTATAAGCTTTGGAAATTGTTCTCGAGAATGTTTAAAGGTGGATTTATCCTAAACGGGGGAAATGGTTGGACGGCAATAGGCCACGTGAAGCAGTTGGCATCGCATTTGATCAGTGATAATTCAACGATTTCACGGGTGCTTATATATAGCGTGATTTGAGTGGGTTTCATGATGATTGCATTGTCATATTTCCATTGTTTGGTCGGTTGTTAACGTGTAGTTTGGGAAAATCTTTTCAAGAAAAGAAATATAATGTGATGAATAATTCAGATTTTCGTATTCGTAAGCGTCAGCCTTTTGAAGCGAAAACTTCGGAAACTCCCTAATGACAATGGTTATGATAAAAGTTGTTGGTTCTGCATGGAATTGCTCGTTTTGAACAATTGGTTCAGCAATGAAATGATTTCGCATATTCTTTTCTTGAATTTCGAATTTATTGGAACAATGCAATGAGACATCCTATTATATTCAAGTGAGGCACTCCAATAGCAACCAGCGAATAGGTGTCTTTCGTAAAATCACACTATTTCTTCTTCGTTTGTGATGGAGTTCGACAGTAGGATATTGTTCGTGAATGAAATTCAAAATTTCCTATGAACAAATGAACGACGTGTCCCAGCCAAGAAATTTTCGCCGATGAAGATTCACGTCTATCGAAGCGCTCAGTTGGAAATCTTTCACGACGTTCTAATTTGATTTATCGATCACATCACTAATGACAATAGTTTCATACTGATCTCCTTCTGAATTAAAATTGGAAGTATTGAATCAATAAGTCTCTAGCAAAGGACTGCTGATCTCATGTCTCTATCCCATTCAGATATTTCAGTTTTAAACCTGCACAGAACTTTTTAAAGGATCAAGCCCTTGAGGTGCCATCCGAACACATAGAGGCCTCCGTTCGGCCCGGTGTTGACTGGGAAAACTCAGAGCTCCCCAATCAGTTTGGAGCATTCTTTATCTATGGCTCGTTCGCAGAACCTTCTCGATTAGTAGAAACTATTATTTGTTTTAATAAGTCGACCTTTTCTTTGTCAGATATTCCCATTGTTCAACGCATTTCGTGAAGAAAGAAGAACATTTGGCGTAAATCAAGTTTATTGACAATTGCAACACATGACTGTCATTTCAAAGATGTTGAATTTTGAAATGATCATTTCCAGCAACTTCGATGATCATTTCGAGTAATCGAGTGAAACAGTTCATGACGTCGGGATATATGAGGATGGCAGTCCAATTCGCTGGTGGCCAATGGCCAAAGGTGGCCAGTGCAAACATCCCCGTAAATCCAGAGTGGTAAACTGCCGAGTGCATCAAAATATCACTTTGGAACACTCCGCTTCAGTGTTGCTTTCTAACTGTTGCCCAATCGTCCAAGGCAATTTCATCGACTCAATCAATTAAAACATCGAAAACTCATGTGACTAAACTGGTTGCTTGGAGCCAAGATATGAGATATACCATCAAACGAACCGACGATGTGTTCTGCTTGCATTTATACCTCGTACACTTACTTCAGTCTGTAGTTGGTTTAATTGAGTGCAATTCAGGTTAGTTCACGTTGGAAAAGTGGATAGTTGCCGACGATTGCTGACATATTTGTCGTTGTTAAACTGACATTCTTCTTATCGTTCTTAATATTTCCGGCCGACTTCCATCGATTTCTGACTAGTGTGACAATCAATGAAAGACTTATGAAATATGCACAATTGATTATGATTAATCGACTCGTCGTCCATCACGATCGGAGTTTAACCATATCTCGATAACGAAGCGAAATCCTTTTACTATTCACATAGAGTTGTTTATCTGTCCAAGTGACCGTACCAGCTTTGAATTTGGTGACGAATGATAATCATGCAGTTGGTTGGAAGGCACCTATGTAAACCGAAGCAGCCATAAAATCATAGCATTGTTCATGCATCTCGGCGGAGTCTGA